CGATCAACCCATCGCCTGCAGCATCTCTTGGCACACGTTACCCCCACTTAGGGGGACCAGGCAGCAAGTGTGAAAAATCAGGACAGTGCATAGGGGGTAATAGGAGCCTATATAAGACAAAGCCCCAAATATCAGGACTGTCCCTATCCAATTGGGACATCTGGTCACCCTACCAGCACTGGTGCTAAAGTTGGAGCTGTCTGGGCTGGCTGAGCCGGACTTGTGGGAAAGAGAAGCAAAAAGAGAAAGAGCAGAAGTAAGGGGGGAAGGAAAATAATGCCTGAGGGGAAAGGTGACAGCAGAAACCCACCCTCATATCCACCAGGGTGCAGGACTGGCCTTGGGGCCTTTTCCCTTGGCCCCGATGGGCTCCCCCTCCTGCACCCGTTTTGCCACTAATCCTTGCCCCCTCCTGCACCCTAACCCCTACATTTTGCCACCTTCAACCCAACTTTTCCAAAGTGCCACCTTCACAGTAACCCCTGCACTTCCCTCCCACCTGCGCACCCAGCCCTGTGCTGCCCGTGTGCCTGCCACACTGCCACCCTGACCAGGTCCACCTCCCCCTTTATGCCCAGCAACCCCCATGCCCATGGTGCAGGGGGTTGGGGGAAAGGGTGAAGTGAGGGCAGGGCTGGGGCGCAGCAGGGGCCGGAGCTGCATGCATTTGGTGCCCCAAACTTCCTGGTGCCCTACGCAGCTGCGTACTTTGCAGACGGCCCTGGTCAGTACATACATGTGGAGGCTCCAGAATGGCAGTGGCAAGCATTGGCCCCTGGCTGCATGGAGGTGGGAGATCACCCTGCAGCCTTCCCCGTCCCCTCCCCTTGTGGCTAAAAGCCGGCGTGTGTAAATGCTCTTTGTCGTAGGGTTACCATATTTTGAATGTCCAAAAAGAGGATACTCCACAGGGCCCCGGCCCTGCCCCCAGCCCCGCACACGCCCCCGCCCAACTCCACCCCTTCCCCAAAGCCCCGCCCCAACTCCGCCCCCTCCCCTGCTTCCCGCGAACATTTGATTCACGGGAAGCCTGAAGCAGGCAGCAGGTAAGCGGGGGGGGGGAGGAGGCGCGGCCCAGTCTGCCCCCCCCAACCAAGCAGACCCCAG